TAAAATGAAATTGAACCACTGAACAAATACAACAAAATAGTGCAAAGAAGCAAAAAAAAATTAATACAAATTATATAAAAAGATAAAAGTATGACTGATGACACAAATGTTGTGTAACTAAAAACGAAAAACGTTGGCATTGAAGAGATCGAAGCTTATTACGAATTATTTTTTAATAGATTACTTTTTTTAATGAGAAGTTGTATTAGATTCAATTTTTTGTTTTCTTCTGCAAATATTTGTCAAGGTAAAAATTAACGTTTATGTCCTTCACATAGTACGATACAAAAAATAATACAACAAAAAATAGCGGCCACAATCAATAAATATTTTTTTCATAAACATCTTATAAAATCTTAACATCGAAGCAAAACTAAATTACTTTTTTATAAAACTGAGAAACCAATCTGCAAATGATGTGTGTCATGTGTTTCAAAACTAAATAAAAATGTTTGCAAAATAAATTGGCCCTCAAGATCAAAACAAACACTGTTGATGGAAATGATTGTTTTGTTAACATTTTGTAATTTTCATGCCATTCGATTCACAAAAACAATAAACTAACTCTTAAGCTACATCGCGATTGCCCTAATTTTCTCTTTCACGTTAAAATTTAGTGAATAAGCTTATCTTGGTACTTTGAACATTATATCATGTGATAATGGTACTTGTACTGTACAAGTGTATTCCAGCACTTGAAGTGTGCTCAGTAAAAACCGTTCTAGCCCAAGCGCCAAGTTTTTTTTCCAAGAAAGCGTTTAGTTGTCATCTCAACGACGTTTGAAACAGATAATGTCATTCCTTCCTCAATTTACTTATTCGTAAATGGAAACTCAGAACACAGCACAGAAATTATAGAATTTGTTTACAGTCGTTAACAACTCGACGGCGACTATTATTTTTTGTTAGTCGTGTCGTAAAATGATTTCTATTTGAATGCTGCTGAAAACTAATTCTTCTCTCATGTACCCAACTCGTTTACTGAACACTACAATTTTTTTGTTACAAAACTTACTGTATAAATGGTTAAATATGAGTTTGAAGTAGTCGGTACACAAAAAATTTTCAACTGTATATATATACAGTATATATATATCCACTAAAAACTTTTAAAAATTATGTTTTTTAGAAAAAGTTGAATACAGAGTGCTCTATTAATTAACAACCATAGTTTACTAAGTAAATTTGATCGATTATCTCTTATTTTCTTTTTGGTTAAGATAATTAGAGCTATCCTAAACAACCTTTTTGAAATTTTTGTGATTATTTTATATTGTAAAATNTGTTCAACTGTATATATATATACAGTATATATATATCCACTAAAAACTTTTAAAAATTATGTTTTTTAGAAAAAGTTGCATACAGAGTGCTCTATTAATTAACAACCATAGTTTACTAAGTAAATTTGATCGATTATCTGTTATTTTCTTTTTGGTTAAGATAATTAGAGCTATCCTAAACAACCTTTTTGAAATTTTTGTGATTATTTTATATTGTAAAATGTTAATATTTGTCTGCNTTTAATATTTGTCTGCATAGAATGAGTTAAAATTGAAACACTAACAATAAAATAACCATGATTATTTAAAAAATAATCCCTTCTGTTCCCTGCATGATAGTGAAGCTTTATGCATTTTCCTCGTCTTCTTTTTGATTTTCCTGATCTAATTAACACCAGAAATAAACTATTTACCCTCTTAGACGCCTACAATATTAATCTTCCTTCCATAGCTAATACTCTTAATTCNGTTAATATTTGTCTGCATAGGATGAGTTAAAATTGAAACACTAACAATAAAATAACCATGATTATTTAAAAAATAATCCCTTCTGTTCCCTGCATGATAGTGAAGCTTTATGCATTTTCCTCGTCTTCTTTTTGATTTTCCTGACCTAATTAACACCAGAAATAAACTATTTACCCTCTTAGACGCCTACAATATTAATCTTCCTTCCATAGCTAATACTCTTAATTCTCGTTCTTCCATTATAATTATTTCCATCATATCTTTCCTGTGGAGTTCCGGCTTTGTCATTTAATCTCTAATTATTTTATTTTATTTACTTATTTGTTAATTTTTTTCTCTTCTTCCATTCTTTCAAATAAAAATTTTAATTTATTAATTTTTCAGTTTGTACATTAAATTCTCTTTAGTTAAAAATAATTTTAATAATGCTTAATTTCTCTATAGTTTTGAGTTTACTAATAATTATTATCGCATTTGTTGTACCAGTATGAAATAGTAATGTTACTGTTTTACTTCTTACTTTTTGTTCTTTGTTTATAATTGGTGTGCTGGTTAATAATTTAATAAAAACTATAAAAAATTTGAAAAGAAAATTTATAATATAAACATATAATACCAACTTTCTAGAAATAATTTGTAGTAATTTGTGTTCTCTACTGATACAGCCTAGTGTTTCGCTAGTGGTTAGGTTATTAGAGTGTGTATATTTCTAAATTGATGAGTATGGACAGTGATGTACAGTCGGGATATATTCTGATTGAATCTGTTAATCTGTAATTAATTGTGATCTACTGATTTATCTTACTAAGTTATTTGTTGATTAATAAATTAATAAACGTGCTTTAAATTTTATGTACAACAAGTGCTAATTAAATACACATTATTTCTGATGTTCTACCTATAACCATCCTACAAATTATTTGATGAACTACGAAAATTTTCCTAGCAAAATTAAATTATAATTAAAAATGATGCATTAATATATTATGGTGGTAATAGGGAATATGTGTACTAATCAGAGTATTAATTTCCAATCGATAACACTGTACTTACCGATGAGAAAGTTATTTGGAAGAAAATATCAATATATTATAGGGCGTAAGGCACGTCGAAGATAAATGATCTACACGCGATAAAAATAAATAACTGGAAGCACAATGAGATTTGAAAAGAATAAGAACGGTCATCACGAGTAAAAAAAGAAGATCGACGGTTTATAAAACGTCCGCCGTGTTTGTGTTTTCTTAGCCATCGTCGTGGAATATCAACAAAATAATAATAATATATGATTTTCCTAACACGTCGAATAAAGCATTAGGGAAAAGTGAGCGCACATCGAATGCACTGCGATTTTGATAAATGTAAAAACTAACTTCTGTACCCTATGTGTGTCTTGATTCGCAATAAAAGAAAAATAAGTAACTATAACAAAAGTGGCCCGCAAGGTCAATAGAAAACAAAAAACAATACCTTCCAACGCAAATATTTTTTTACGAACGTAAAACAAAATCGGCAGACGTTTCGTTTCAGGCTTGAGGCTTTGAGAAATCATACCAAGAAAACATTGTTATATCCATCGATGTGGCAACTTGTTAAAAAATCAGTACTCGTTAAGAAAATAAAACCATTTTACACCTTCATTAGATAATTAAAATGTATAGATTTTTTTAATTCTATTATATCTGTGCCATAACGTTCCAATTACATTAACCAATGTTAGTACAATACACGACATGTTACGCTTATGAGTTAGCAAGTTCATAAAGTCTTTTAAGTCTAACATAATTTGAAGAAAACAACATTAGGTTAATGAGTTAAATCAAAACGTGGGCTTTAGAATAGTCGTGGAACGTCAATTGGAAACACGTTCAATTTTCTCTCGGAGTAAAGAACTTGATAAATAATGTACATCTGTTCAATCTGACGTGATTTACTAACAAAAATTGTCTAGTGAAATTCATGTTTGGATAACACACGTGTACTAATGTACAAATAACGCTGGACAATTTTTTTCTGAAAAAAAATTACGCACTAGTACAATTTAATGTTTACACGTATTTGTGTATTTTTAAATAAAAAATAATATTATAATTTTATTCGAATAGTTAAATTCTTAAGTCGTAGGGGAAATGGTCGTGTCTGATATTTTTGTGGACTATTACAGCTGGTCGCAAATTAGAAATATTTATAAACAATTTCATAATTTAATTAATTCTGTCGCAGTGTAGTTATACGGCGGCTTTTGTATAATTCTGCAGTCAAAATGTGTTTTTTAATCAAAGAACTTTAGTCTACACAAATCGTACACAAAAAACATTACCGAATTAATTATGTACGAGACAGCACTGGTGAGAACGAGAACCATTTAATTGAACGTAATTAGACGCGTACAACGTTTTAACGATTTACTACAGTGTGGCTTTGAGCGTCACATTCATAATATATGTGTATATGTAATTTAGTCACCCGAAGGTTTAACTCAGCAGCGAAATCTTGGACAAATGACGCAATTGTTGAATAATTAAGATAAGGCAGAGCCCAGTTGAACGTTGTGCTCTACTGAAGAGACCAGAAAAGGAAACCGACCGAAAACTTTTACACCCTTCGAAGACTATTAAAACTGTACGTTACATTGTAATGTATTTTAAATCAGCAACTCGCATCAAAGTAAATGCGATTACTGATGTCAAGTGGGCCGGTCGCCGTACTCAATAACATTTCGAATTTTCAAGTACAATGTATTTTCAGAAAAACACATGCTGACAAAAGCACGCCATTGTTTATATCGAATTTTGAAGACTCTTGGCGTTTTTTTCATTATCTACGGCAAAATCGCAGTGTGCCATTTCCACAATACATATTTTGCACTATGCCAACGAAATATAACCGTCACCTGAATAAAATATTATTTCGTTCTATAGTTTTAATAATCAGACAAACCTCTTATAGAACAAAACCTTCTCCGATCATTATTTTGTACGCTTTAACCTACTTGACGATGAGCGCACAACAAATGTCAATAACCTCCAAGGTGATTAATATCCGGTTATTAAAGTATTAGAATAAAATAATAATTTCTGTAAAATTTAAGATTACTTCGTTTATATTGATGGAAAAACACAACTGTACTTTTTACTTGCGCAAACTCGGATTAAGTTACGGGTAGTGTTTTTTTTTTCTAGCTATTGTCACCCGGCAAAAAATAAAAAACTACAGACACACTACTTAATATTAGAGATATGGTGCTACCTTTAGACGAAACTGGTCGATGACTGTAGCCGTTGTGGTTCTCGGTGGTGGACAGTTCGTCCAGTTCCAGTTGGTTCCATACGAGCATGTGCTTGGCGCCGGAGGCAGCCCGGTCGCCGCACGCCGCGGACGTGCTGGGCGGACTCCGGGTACCGCCGAACGACGATTCTGCCTGGACAACGGCGTGGACGCCGGACATGAGACCGATACCGGCATCATCGTCCTCGGACTCTATCCCGCCGCGGCCGCCGCCTCCATCCCAATTGCGGCCAGACATCAGCGCGGACCACCGCCCGACGATACCCTTTCACCAAATCTGATATAATACATTGGTCAGTCCGCCATTGTGTGCTATCTAATGTTCATTACCAAAACGGATCGGATTACACACACACACACACATAGTTATAATGTAATTATTAAATTTTTTTCCAAAGCACTTGACTAAAACGCATACGCGTCATACGCTTGTTTGTTAAGGCCATATATTTTCCGTTTATAAAAAACAAACATGTTGGGTAACACGCTCAATGAAATATTAATTACAAAAGTTGGAATGAGTGTTTTACAAATGTCGTTCATATTTATTACACAAAGCAATCCAATAAATTTTGGCGCGCATTTAACTATCTATGTAGTATGTCATGTTTACACGAGGAACAGCTAAATTTGTATATTTTTTATCGACTCAACAATTTTTTTATATATACAACATTAATAATTAGTCGAAAAGTTATACTTTTCAAGTAAGAAAATGTTTAATTTATAGATAAAATTAAATTTACCATATTGTATTGTCACGTTTACCTATTCGTTCAATTGCGAAACACCAACAAATTGTTAAGTCATACCTATATTGCAAATCAATTAACGAACTTCATTAAACCCCAATGCAAGAACCGAGAATTTAATACGCAGCTGTAATTGCAATTAACACTATTGTCACTTGCAGTTCCGATGCAGTTATTATGGAGCAAAAAGGATGTAAAGTCATTAATTATTAACGAGATTCGATCACACTGTTCTCTTACACAACTCTATGCCAATTAATTATCTAGTTAAAACAAATAAGTTTATTACCCAAACGCCGTTAATAAAGCTAAAGCGCTATAAAAACATTAATAGGTAGTGGAAAAACACTCGGATATGTAAGTGAATCTCAAGTGTTGTTATTCTACTTCAACACGACGATTGATACAAAAAAAAAATGATTTTTTTATTGTTCGCCTAACGTTAATAAAAACATTGCATAAATTTTGTACGCATAAAAATATTACAATTTATATTTTTGGCGTCCAAGTCTAATGCAATTTGGACGCTTACCAATCTGTGTACAATTATGAAATATTTATAAATATTCATTTGATTAGCTTTGCCGCGGATTCTGAAAAACAATTCGGTCGAGGGACACACGACATACGGTGGAAAAGTCATTACTAAAGGCCGTTACGGGACGATAGAAAATGAATCTGTATATTGATCCGACTAATGGTTAGCTGTGCTGTTTGACGGCAGTTAAATCCTGTCAGGTCGTTCTGGCCGTTCCGAAATCGTTGGCTTAAATTAACGACCGCCGGACTTTTCTGTCTAAACTTAGATGGCAAGCGGCGATTCGATTATTGTCATGGTCGGACAGGCCATCGGCTGCAGTAGACGAGCCGGATGGAAACGGAGTAGAAAAACACACCGGCAGACCATTGTGACTGACAACTGAATTGCTCAGTTTCTCGTTCAGATCGATAGTCGAAAATCGTTGAGTCCACCGACGTGGTTATGTTATGCGGTCGGTCGAGATGGGAAAAAACTTCACGAAAAAAAAAAATGATTGCTTTTGACCTTTTGCGGTGAATAACGTTAACAAATACCGTGTACCGTTCTACCTCAGTTGTTAATTATTTAATTTGCAAGGTACGAATGCACAATGGGACACAATTAAATTTTATCCGACTCTGGTGAAATTATAACAACGTCGAATGAAATGAAAATTGGATCCACCAAGTTCATTAATTTCTATATGTATGGACACCCAAAGTGTAATAAAACACTAACAACCGAAATAGAACGACAGAAGAGAAAAAATGTTTATTAATTAGTTTTTGGCGAGTTAATTCAACGGGCGATGCTCACGACACTATTTATTTTGTGCGGTGTACTTATCGATGGTGGCGTGTTGGCTGAAGAATGGCGACTTGGGAATTGTTTAAAAAATTAAGAAAAAGCAAAAAAATGTACAGTACAGCGATTTGGTGGTATTATAATTTGCTAACTCTCCGACCGTTTGGATGTTTGACCAGCTTTTCTTGTTTTAGTTTTAACAGTAAACGATGGGAAAGGGAACGGTCGAACACGTTGCAGCGGATTCGACAATACACTCGAGTAATCTTTGTTTCAACATTGTTTGCCGTTTGTATGTCAAGCACATCGACTCGCACATTACAAAGAGAGGCTTGCAGATATAACACGAATTAGTCGGTTTTTCAGCATATTTTACCGATATTGCAGGCCACAACTTGGGGGGGGGGCACAACAATTAGGCTGAATGTGGAAACATCTGTGTATTGGCCAAAAACAGAATTTATTATTACTCGAATTATTCGTCCCAGGCGAACAATTAAAATTGTCACAATAAACTATTACAGTAGCACATGATAGTATATTAACCGAGCCAAAGTGTTGGCGATCGTGCGGTTCTATACCACCACCTACACACACGGGCTTTTCATTTGCGAAATGCACCACCAACAACACTGATCACTTACACCGAATACATAAAAAATGATAAAACTGTATTTATCTTTATCAATAGGACACCATAGGATTGCATGGGATTGGCTTATATTTTGTATTTTGCTCGCGTTAGTTGTCAGAATGCGACACCTAAACTAAAAGGTTCTATATCATTATTTTATTATTTTACAGGAGAGCGTTTTTAGATTTTGCAAATTTTTGTAATGAAAAATCAAAAAAATTATATAGCATGAATAATTTAAATATTATAATTATCAAAACAACGAAAAATAGTCTTTGAACATTTTGCTCTAGAGTAATAAGGTTCTATAGGTAGAATTTTCCTCAATATTATTCATCTTAATGGATAGAATATTTTAATTTAAACAATTTTTTGAAACATTGAACGTTACGCTTTGAAAAAAATATATATCATCATCCCACAGTTAAATACTCAATCAAATAAATTATCGGAGAGGAGTAGGTGTTAATCCAAAATCATATGTATGATAAGACAGTGAGTATGTGACGCTTTTCTCTTTACAGTAAATTTTTAATACTTCGCATGTTAAACCGTGGGAACCAAAAACTTATGAAAAATGTATGACAGCATGACAATAATCAATAAAAACAGATAATATTAACTAGCTGGCCGATAATTCAAACAATTTATTTAAATTAATTAATTTTTACAGAAAATTATAAAGGGTTAAATAAATAAAAAAACAATATCCACAAACGTAATTTTTTCAAAAACTTTAACAATACAATATTCTTAAGAGATGTTTCGGCGGTGGTACTCAGAAAATACGGATGAGAAAAAAATAAACAAGCAAGTCAAAAAGTATTTTTATGACTAACAATCTTAAGGCCGAGAGATGATGAGACTACCTATTCTACTAGTGCCAATAATTGAAACTTCAAGCGTCGTATTTCCACTTCGCCAATAATAACGTGCACAAGCATAAAAGTTTATTTCTATTTTTGTTTTTCTGTCATTCGTTTAGACAGTAGTAACACTACCATGTTTTTTTACCTCAATTCCGAGCTAAGCAAACTATTATAACATAAATAAATTCATTTTAGATGATGTTACACCAGATTTTATTATTTTTAATTATCAAGAAACCTTTTAAGATAATGTACAGAGTATAATTTTATTTCCAAAGCAAGTCCTTAACATCTTGTTGTGAAAGTTTAAAATTAAGTAGTTAGCTATTATAAAAACTTAAAAGAAATAAGTCTTTCGTGGGATTTAAAAAAGGTTTAAACATTTTTAAGACCTTATGGGTTTATACCAAAAGGATACGTGGCATTACTCTACTAAGATGTCATGGAAAATTTCTTTTTTTTTTTAACAATTTTTTTTAGACACATTACATAAGTTGAAACAAACATTTTCATTCATATATATATATTAAATCGATAAAATCTATCTTTGAAAAGGTGTATTCAAATAAAAGCTTAAATTTTAGAAAAAACACTTTCGGAATGAAAATTGAATACTAGAGAGACATTCTCTGAATATAATCATTGCGAATGGAAATTTTAACACAACTCACAAGGTTCATTTCAGGTCAAGTGAATTATATATACGCGTATTAAGCCCCAGATGGTATTCTAAGTAGATATTGTCACAAGCCTTTGAACAATGCTTTTCCCGTAGTCAATACAGGTAATGTGGCTGAACCCGTTCTCGTCATACGTTTGAGATTGTTTGGCACAACAAATAAGGATTTTGCATACAAAACATATATTTAATTTGCTCAGTAATTAGGCGTGAGCAGTTGTGTATTGTACACAGTAAACAATTGAAAAACTCTGTTATGTAATAAATCTGTCGATACTCTACAACAATAATTCCCATTGAAAATTGAACTTTGAGATGTCAATCCTTAAACAATAAATTTGTGCCGTTATTAATGCGAAACCGACAAAAATCCTAGTGACAACCATTTACGTTACAGAACTATACCATACTACCCCTCCGCCATAGTTATCGGCCCAATATGGTACGACTAGTACGCGACAAAAGAACTTTGTTACATTCCGGTTCTGTTGCACGAGGTTCGCATTATAAAATGACACTTCATTAATAAATCCAGAGAATAAAAAAGTACTAAAAAACGTGTCAAACTTATTCGCCACTGCGAACAATATGGTCAAATGACTCTAACAAGATTTGTTATATTTCTTGAAAATTGTTTTTTTTTTCTCTGTAACATTAGCCATTAAGACTTATGTGTTCAGGTATACTTTTATTTTGCTTAACAACTTAGATGTTACCAACAGAACCCTCTTAAATTAATTACAATTTTTACTAGATTTCATCAAAGAGAGTTTACTAGGGACAACACGCATTGGTTTTCAATCAAACATATTGATGCAGTGCCAAAATCAACGTTTGGATGACGGACAGAAGATGTATGGTGTTTGAGAAAATATAGTGACAAGCAGAATTTATAAATATGTGTAATAAATCTAATGCGCGTAATTTATGATCACGTAAAAACTTAAAATAAATGATAGAAATCGTTCGATATAAAAAACTATTAACCGTTTTTCTTTGATTAATCAACATTGATTTCTTATAAACAATAAACGTCAATAGTATTTAGATTGAATTCATTCCATTAATGATAATAAATGATATTTTTAATTGGTTTGATAGCACTTTGGCTGTTTAAACGTTTGCCGAAATCAAATAACGATTTAAAACTATTTCAAAGGCCTTGTTTACATAGCTCTTACATAATTCAAGATAGAAGCAGCCGTTGTTTAAACATTTTATTGCTGTTGACTTTCGAATAATGAACACAGTTAAATACCAAAATAACAACTGTTCAGATAGCCGATAAATGTGCTGATGTCAGCGGACCTAATAGGAGTAGTTTAAAGCTAAGTGAAGACGATTATTATCAACATAAATAACCAGGTAAAATGATATCGTTGGTGAACGATCTTAAATTTCGGTGTATTGAATTTGTTGTGCACAAAACACACAGCGATTGTGAGAAATCGCAAACTCACAAAAGTTAGCACGACAATGAATAAAATGTGTAAACTTTAAAAGTTTAAGTTGCAATAAAATATATAATAATAGCATTAAGAAATCCTACACAATAGTACTTTATTCTAAAAAAAGGTGGCTTAAGTTTTTATTAAAATATAATAGTTTATTAGTGCAATGAAAAATCAGAGGTCTATAAAAATGTGTATAATCTTTTTTTAATTTAGGTATCTCACTTATTTTACTTAGAATTTTCTTATGGTTTTCTGTAAAATATCACGAGAATTCTTTAGCAGTATACAAAACAGTAAGGCTAACATATTATTTGTTAAAAAAAATAAATAAATTCAACTTGCAAAGCCGTTTTGCCTGATTACGTTCACTTTTTTTAATTAAAGGTGCAGGTTTTGTCTATAGAAATATAAAATGGTTTTTTCATTAATAAAGGGATTTAAAAAACACTCGGTTAGCAAAATAGTCGCGCGTTGACGGACAACGGCGATAGGTTAAGTGACAAACAAGTAATTTCTAAGCCCAAAATTGTATTAAGACTTGTTCTAAAGCATTTATTTTACAACTATATTCTGACTGCGGCAGCATAGAAGGTTAGTTTTATGAGAAAACTTTTAAACATTCCATTTTGAGACATTTGTTAAAAAATTCGCACGCCAGAATTATTTCCAATACAGTTTTTTAACCTCATTAACAACAATTGATTTTATTTTTATTCATTTAATAAATTGCACTGGCACTATTCAGTAAAACTAATCGTCACGACTTCGTCATAATAAGACATATAAAAATATTTTATCGAATAATATGCAGAGAATAAAACGTTTGAGGCGACCGAAAATAAGCAAACGGATTAGGGCAAGTTTTAGTTAAATCAAGAACCTGTTATAGGCCCGTTGAACTTAATTTCATTCAGTATTTGCGTTTAAAGCTTTTTTTTAAAATTGTTCATAACGGTATTGCGTTAAAAAAAAATAAATCTCGCCCTAAGGAAAAAAAATGAACGGCTTTTATTTTTATAGTATCGTTTTAATGATCTTTTTCTGGGTTTTAAAAGTTTTGATGCCGTCTACGTAGCAAGCTCCACGCACTGTATGTTAAACGATATTTCGGCTGTAATTATAAATTACAGTTAAGATATTTATATAGTCTTATTAAAAGTCCAAGGTCTATACCTACGCTTCAAAATCCGCAGCAAAAATTTGAGTTTATTTTGCACAACTGGTGTTTAGTTAAGGCCGATTTGTTGACAAAAATTAAAAGCTTTCAACAAACATTAACGTTAATTGATGTGTTGTTTAGACGTGATCTAAGAGACTATAAATCCACAATGAACGCATTAAATATTGACGCTTACTGAAATATAAAACCCGACACGGTAATTGTTAGAATAATTGAAGTTGGACGAAAAATAATAGACCGAGTTTTTACAATAAAATCAAAAACTGATGGAAAATAAAAGCTGATTTTAATAAATTATACGTTACGCATTATTTGAAAAAAAAAAAACGCGATTTCCGGTCACGAAACAATAACAATAATATTATTTCTTCTCTTTAACATTTATTTAAATTTAACGATTACACGGTTAATTATCGACTCGGTTATGGCGTAAGCAAATATTTTAACGCTACGTTAAATATTTGATTGCGGTATACCTTCGAATGCGCTCATTATGTCGTAGGCCTACTGAAGACCACGTGCCACCCTCGTCCCGCTGTTGAGCTCTTCTAAACACTATGAAACAAGGTAAAAAAAAAAAAAAAACAATAAACGTGTAATAAAACGACAAGCATCGCTATTGATTTTGTTTCGCCTCAATTTATTTTAGTCAGCACGTGATAAGAAAGTTTTAAACTTGATAAATTAACATTGCCTACGCCGTGCCGTTATTTATGACGTCACCCATTGTTAGCGTTCAGACCGAAGTGGTCAATACTAATAGTTACTACTATTATTATTGCAATGGTATTTTTAGCCTTCTTTTTATAGCACCTCGCGGTGCACGGAAAAAAGCGACGGCGAAAAATACTGAATGTGAAGGGTCGCCACATCAATCGATTTGACAACGTCGGAGGCCACATAAAGTTTCGAAATCGTAACGGACCCGGCGAGCATATGCAAAATAACGTTGTACAAGTGCCTTGGAATATTTTCACATCGACAACAATAGTTAAATGGAATAGTTACATGTAATGTGGACACGCAGAGTTCATGTACGGCAGCCGTACCGTTGCCGGTGGCGTTGACTAAACCCACGACGACAGCACCACCACATGTCGACGACCACGTCGACGGCGGTACGCACACAGCGGGTAAACCGGTGACGGCGATCGAGAGTTGCGTGTAGTGGACGAAGACAACGCGGCACAATATCGAAACGTAGGGACACACACGCGGGCTATTTGGTCTGCACACTCACCGGGTGCTGCTGGATAGCGCACAGGGCCGCGGCGGACTAGCCGCCGGTTAGGATTCCGTCGTCGCACGGCCCGGCGGCGCTTGCGTGCATGGCGGCTCATCGATCGACTCTGCCAAAGTCCCTTCTACACCCACTGCCGCCGCCACCGCCGCCGCCGCCGCCACAAGGTTGCCGTAATACATGTACTGGTGTGTGTGGCCTCGCGTGTCTGCCGCCACCACCTCTACCGCCACTGGATTCCTTTGCTAAATCTCAGCGCACGGCTTCTTAACGTGTATCGTCACGTGGTGGGCCCAATCACTTTGTATGATTGGATTTCGACTTTTGCCAACACTTTGTAACATTATAGTTACTGCGAGGCAATACCGATTGGACTCAAAGGCTGTAGCGAAAAAGTGGTAGGCAATTCGCTCAGGACGGGACGAGTTATCGCAACATGCACAAGTTTATAGGCTAGTGCGTTTGGCCCTTGACCGGAATTTTCCCGTGAAGTTAGAAAAATACTTAAATCTGTTGATGGGATTATAACACTTGAGGGTGCCGTTGACGAGGCTACCCGGAAAGGTTGTGCGTAAAAGCAACGGCAAACGGCGTACGCAACAGAAAAGTTAGTTCTAAACGTTCATACAAACTTTTGTCAAGTAACGGTTAAAAAAAATCAAAATTAAATCGAGTGGGGATGAATTTCGGCTAGCAAAAAAAGGCTCGACATTGTTCTTCGTGAAAACTATTTCCGTCGAAAAAAAATTAAACGGTTAAATTCCAAACTACCGGAATTCATTGCACTAGTAACCATCTAAAAGATAATATTTGTACTTGTGGCTTTGTGGTGAACAAAAGCAGAGGAGTTTAAAAAAATCCCATTCAAAAAAACAGAAAGTTTGCTGTCGCTTTTATAAGTATATCTAGGGGACATTATCCGCCATAAATACTTCCACGCGAAATGTAATATAATAAATAAAAGAATAATTATTTTTTATCACTGTTTGATAAATTATTAATGAATTCTACGATGATAAATGTTTAGACGTAATAAGTTAATAAAAATTATAATTAATTTTCTATAAAATCTGGATAAATGCATTTCGAAATAACAAACTGCAATAGTTTCTACTTTCTTTGTAGCGAGACCAATTTAAATTCTTGAATCTTCATTTGAGAACAATAAATTTTATAATTTAAAATACACTCTAATGATTTTTGTGTAGAACAATTCAACTATTAATATTTGTATTAACGATTACCTAAAATATTACTTACAATAAATAAATCAAGCGGTTTGTGGTGTACATATATTTTTATCTAATAAAATTATGACCAGCATAATAATTTAACTCTCAGTTACTATTTTTAATATTAATGACCGCTAACTCGGGCAAATATACTTCTTTTGTTTGTTTTTTTTTTTTTTGCGTTAAATGGATTCCGTGAAACTGAATACATTGTTTAAATAATATTCTTTTATTGTTTCATAAAATTTTTTTCTAAACATATTCTGCGTAGCTTCCAAACGGAACACACACGTATATTTATAACGTACTTTTGTTGAAAACTGTAAGTATTCAACAAAAGGCTTGTCGTTTAATATATTTACACTTCAAAGTATGCGGCTTGAATAATAGTGAAGTAGGTATAGTAAGTTAAACAATTATCGCTATTATACAATTACAGTTTGTTTGTGTAACAAACAGAATAGAATTGTCATGAGTTTTCCATTATATTAAGACCTAAGCTTCGATTGTAGTGTAATTTCTGGCCGCCTTTTATAATACGAAAATATTACCCGTGAAAATTACCGAAACAATTTCATAAATTGTTTCAAACATAATTTGACTTGATTCCTTCGTATAAATAAATAAATAGTTTTTAGCCAATTAAGGGCAATTTCACATATTTTTTAAACTACAATTTGTTCAACACTTGAATTTTTGTTTCTATTTTTCCAAGTCGATTTCTAAGGTAAATGGAATTAAGTAGCGACAAAAAATTACTATATTATATAGACGCAGAATCGACTGCGATTTTTGAAATAGACACAACACTTACCACTATGTTCACTAACTCAAAAAATAAATACATACATATTTGTGCAATTATTTTAACATCTATTTATTGGGCGAATCGTGTGAAAATATTTTACTGGCGTTAAAGCTCCGAACGTTCTCATTAAAAGTATTGTATTTAAGTGTGCAAGTGTCGAACGAGACACGAATGCTTTGGGAAATGTTTGTTCGTGTAAACACTAACAGCGAGCAGAGAGTATAACTAAAACGGAACGATTATGTGTTTCGGTTGCGCGGAATAAAAATCCCGTGCAAGTAGAGCCTGTGCGTACAAATGTTACTTAACGCATAATGAAGTAATCAATATCTACACAATGCCATCATCAGAACCCGGAAAGGTGTGCAGTATCATCGGACGAGGTATACATTTTTCGCATATGATCAATTACCTTATCGACCCGTATGGCTCTTTGTTGAATACGAACAGGAGAGCTTTGTCAACGGTGAAAATTGATACGATTTCTACGGTTTGATAAATATTAATTAACGCGAAGAATTTCCACTCCCACACGTCGGTAATGAGACAATGCGAGCTTTTTCATTGTTTCGTGTGCTATCCTAGACGTGCCTAACAGGCAGTTCACGAGCACACAGATAATTTACATATTACCTACGCTGGAACAAAGTGTGTGTGTCGTTGGAACTAGTATCGATCATGTGTTTCATTACGCACTAAAAAAGATGTCGAGTAAAACAATTGAAATTGCCATTATCTCCGTCGCCGCTACAACAACAATAATAAGCCTCCCGCAGTTTTTTACTTGGTCGATTGAATAATAGATTTTGGTGTTTTGCACCGAGTTTTTGTTATATAAATAGGTGAATAACATTGCACATGGGTCACAGGAAAATTGATTTTCTTACAATTTATATGTCCACATGGAAACGATTTAATGTAAAGAACAACAATATCTAATTTATATTGTTTGATTTTTATTACGGCCGGGTTGTGCTCTTAACAGTAATTCAGTCAACAAAACAATGACAAAACTCCATTATTTAATAACTAAAAAAATTTTGCCCCCCTCATATAAATTCTTGATCTGCTTCGTAATTATTATTTTATACGTACAATTTTTTACATATATCAATTTTCATATGCCTATAATATCTATTGTGAGATTTTTTTTACACATATGATTAAATAACAATTTTTATGTCCTAATTAAATAGCAAAATAAATTATATGGTATTCATAACATCTGATATCATATCAGATTGCCTCGACAATGACGATGACCAAGATATTACACCATTATTTGAAAAAAAACTTAAAAGTCGAGTTACCGTCTAAAATTAATGTTAGATATTAATAATTAGGGCCAACGGAATTATACTAGTTTTGATAAAAATAAGCCATTTTTCTACTGTAATAGACCTAATCGTAGTTAAAGTAATTCGACGATACCATAGAATGCAAGTATTGTGTAACCACATAATAGAACTATTATAAAATACCGTCTGTAGTATAACATAAAGCAATTATTTAAGCTATTTTCTTTCTTTTTTTTTGTCGGACAATGCCTGCCAGCTACAGTCTGGACTTAAAGAGCACATAATTTAATAGTATGTTATTGTGTTGATATAGTATTAATTAAGTATATACTTGCAGTAAACTAACATTTTAATAGCAAAAAAACAACGTGTGAACACATATTTGTTATCTCAGATCAACGAAACTAAATCGATTAAATAGTTTAGGCAATGATACATCTTTACTTAATTTTTTGAGTGACCTCTTTTTTTTTGCAAAGAACCTGCTAAACGTATTTATTGCTTCGTTTATACATTCTAATTTACCTCTTATTGTTAACACAGTAAACACTAACAATACGCGATTAAAAAGTTAAAAGTTCATTTTTGCCTTAGATACTATTTTCTCAATTATTTTTCATTACTACTTTTAGTTGCACGGAATTCGATTAACCAATGCAAAATGGACTTTAGTGTTGCGAGTTGGCGAAATACAAGAGTTGGCAATAGTCTAATACATCCCTTTGATTAATAATCGTTATCCTTATTACGTTCGAGAGATGTAACGATTTAACTGGGGTACAAACGGACGTGGGTGCGGTTTCTGTGTTTATATATGTTATAAATTCTCATTAATACGGCATTAATTAAGTGTGCCAACCCTTGCGAATCTGACAACGGTTCGGAAAGCCATCATTTATTTTTTTGTTGATATCATATAGATTTGAAAGTCGTCGGATATATTTACCCTCATCGCGATTATTATTACAAGCTGTAGGAAACACATACTCGTTTTGAAAACTAAACGTTCTCGAAATGTCAATATCTTAAATCCCACAAGACTACTTGTAAACGAAACATTGTAACAAATAATTTACGATATTTTACACGACATAAGCCGTTGACGTTCCGCTTGATTTTCTGCACGACAGTAAAAACAAATATAATGGTACGACCGTTAGACGACAAAGGCGACAACGGTCTTAATTGTAATAGAGTTAAACACAGCGCTGTAATAATTTCTATTGGGCCATTTTTTTAATTCAGTCAATTCAAATTGCTATCCAAGGGCTGCGGTTCGAATTTAATGCTGTGAAATCGGTAGCGTTTATTGTTTTATGACAATAATTAAAATGCAAAACTCTTTCCGAAAACCGTAAAACGTTGTCTTGTACATAATTGGAATTCGCTACACAAAAGGTCAAATGATTCGTTCTATTGTTTTCACACGGTGTTTCCAACGAAATATCTACGCCCACAAATGTATTCAAAAGAAGAACAGTAGAGCGTTCATTTAAATATAATAATAACAATAATGGTACATTATTATGTACTATTCATAACCCGCCGCTTGCACTACGGAAACATTCTTGGGATGGGTCGGCACCAGTCAAGACGAGGGGAGTTCACGATTTTGCACGTGATCGATCTACAAATCCACGGTCAAGGTCAGCTACGAAGAAGTCGCAGCCGCCTATGATAGTATGCTAGTCACAAATAGACAATAGTGT